GGCTATGCATACTAGTATGTATTCTTTGATTAATCTCTTCCCATTCCCCACCACACCCTTCCCTCTGAGATCTGTCATCTTGTACCATTTATTCATATTTCTGGATGTATTTTTTTTCTGGACGTATTTTGATCATCAGCTTATTTTGTTAATTAGATTCCACATATAAGTGAGATCATGTGATATTTGTCTTTCTCTGACTGGCTTTTTTTGCTTAGCATAATAATCTCTAAGTCCATCCATACTGTCTCAAAGGGTAAGAGAGCCTTCTTTTTAATAGCCGCATGGAATTCCATGGTGAAAATGTACCACAGCTTTTTTTTTATCCACTCATCTACTAATGGGCACTTGGGCTCTTTCCAGATCTTAGCTACTGTAAATTGCGCTGCTATGAACAGAAGGGTGCATATATTCTTTCTAATTGGTGTTTTGGGATTCATAGGATATATTCCTAGAAGTGGGATCACAGAGTCAAATGGCAGCTCCATTTTTAATTTTTTTTTAAGTTACTCGTTTTATTTATTTATTTATTTATTATTGATTTCGGAGAGGAAGGGAGAAGGAGAGACAGAAACATCAATGATGAGAGACAATCACCGATTAGCTGCCTCCTGCATGCCCCCTACTGGGGATCAAGCCTGCAACCCGGACATGCGTCCTTGACTGGAATAGAACCCACACCCTTTAGGCCGCAGGCCAACTCTCTATCCACTGAGCCAAACCAGCTTGTGCCATTTTTAATTTTTTGAGGAAACTCCACAGTGGCTGCACCAATCAGCATTCCCACCAGCAGTGCTAGAGGGTTCCCATTTCTCCATATCTTCACCAGCACTTGTTTGTTGATTTCTTGATAGTAGCCATTCTGACAGGTGTGAGGTGATACCTCATTGTATTTTTAATTTGCATCTCTCTGATGATTAGTGATGCTGAGCATTTTTTCATGTTTATTGGCTATCTGTATGCCCTCTTTGAAGAAGTGTCTATTCAGGTCCTTTGCCCATTTTTAAATTGGATTGTTTGTCTTCCTTTTGTTGAGTTGTAGGGGTTCTTTCTCTATTTTGGAAATTAACCCCTTATTAACAGTTTGTTGGTGGTTTCTTTTCATGTGCAGAAACCTTTTAGTTTGATGTAGTCCCATTGTTTATTTTTCCTTTGTTTCTCATGCTTCAGTAGATGTATTGTCAAAAACATTGCTATGTGAGATGTCTGAGATTTTACTGCTTATGTTTTCTTCTAGGGCAGTGGTTCTCAACCTTCCTAATGCCGCGACCCTTTAATACAGTTCCTCATGTTGTGGTCACCCCCAATTTCATTGTTACAAATTGAACATATTAAAGCATAGTGATTAATCACAAAAACAATATGTAATTATATATGTGTTTTCCAATGGTCTTAGGCAACTCCTGTGAAAGGGTCGTTTGACCCCCAAAGGGGTCGCGACCCACAGGTTGAGAACCGCTGTTCTAAGGTTTTTATGGTTTTACAACTTACATTTAACTCATGGAGTATGATGGTGGCTGTAGGTTTGTCATATATGGTATGGCCGTTATTCTGTTGAGGTATGATCCCTCTATTCCCACTTTTCTGAGAGTTTTTATCATAAATGGGTGCTGGATTTTGTCAAATGATTTTTTTTTGGCTTTTATTGATAGGAACGTGTGATTTTTATCCTTAGTTTTATTTATGTGATGTGTCACAATACAGTAATTGATTTGCAACTATTGTACCAGCCTTGCATCCATGGAATAAATCCCACTTCATCAAGGTGTATGATATGATCTTTTTAATGTATTGCTGGATCTGATTTCCTAATATTTTGTTGAGAATTTTATCATCTTTGCTCATCAGGGATATTGGCCTGTAATTTTCTTTCTTTGTAGTGTCTTTATCTGTTTTTGGAATTAGGATAATCCTGGCCTTGTAAAAAGAGCTTGGAAGTCTTCCCTCCTCTTGAATTTTTTGAAATACTTTGAGGAGGATAGGTGTTAGTTCTTTGAATATTTGGTAAAATTTGCCTGTAAAACCATCCAGTCCAGGACTTTTGCTTGCTGGGAGTTTTTTTGATTACTGCTTCAATTTCATTAGTTGTTATTGGTCTATTCAGGTTTTCTGATTCTTCCTGATTGAGTTTTAGAAGATTGTATGTGTGGGAGCCCTAATCAAAGTATGCCGAATGTTCAAGGCCAGTTGGAGTGTGGGGGCCCTGTTCAGAGTATGCCGGATGTTCAAGGTCAATATGAGCAAGGACACAGTGATTGTATTGTATATGAAAGGTTTAGAGTTGGGCTGGGGTTGCACAGAACTGAGTCAAGGCTCAGTGTAGTAAAAAAGATAGTTATTTAAGGCACCTGTGTGCAGGTGGGCTGAGTCCGAGAAAGGAGTCAATGCTGAATGGGAAGGGAGCAGGCTTTTTATGTGCGTAGGGAGAGCTGCAGATGGTTTGGCTTGACACACATATCAGAACCATGCCCCTGGTGGTAGTTTTACAGTCTTGCCCTTTGTCCTTCTGCTGGCTCCAGACTCCTTCCTCCTGAAAGCTGTTCAGGGTTATGGTCTTCAGGAATTTCTATAAAATAACCAATCAAGAGAAGCATGTTTGTGCAAGGCTTAGGCTTGCAGAACAAGCTTTCTTTTGTTAGCCCCTGCTGAATTAGAGCCCTGTTTCTTGATTAACCCTTTCAGTATACACTGCGCTGGCATACTTTTCTATAACCCAAATACTGATGTCACTATTTGGCAAGAAGCCTCTTTTGTCTAAACTGGCATAAAGATGTGTTGTTGACCAGCCAGTGTGTGGCTGCTTAGTATGGCTCATGTGTTTGCTACTGTATTAGTAAGGGCTGCCTTGTATGGCTACTTTGTGAAGCTACTTTGAAGAAATGTTTTGTCTGATGGTCTTAGTAATGGCTACTTGGTCAGCAATAATGACTCTTCTATATGCCTACAACTGCTCATATCTTCTCAGTCCAATACCCGGCATCTGTGAAGGTCCAGCTCCTAGCAGAGAAAGACCTGTGCTCCCACAGTATGTTTCTAGAATTTTGTCCATTTTGCCCACGTTGTTCAGCTTATTGGCTTATAGTTGTTCGTCATATATTTTTATTTTTTTATTTTTTATTATTAGTTAAGGTATTACAAATGTGTCCTCATCCCCCCCATTAACCCCAACCTCCCCCCCCGCCCCCCGCCCCGCACACTCATGCTCCCATCCCCCTGTTGTCCATGTCCATTGGTTTGGCTTATATACATGTATACAAGTCCTTCGGTGGATCTCTTTCCCTTACCCCCGCCCTCCCCTACTTTCCTTCTGGGGATTGATAGCCTGATTGCTGTTTCTCAGTCTTTGGATCTGTCCCTTTTCATCAGTCTATGTTATTCTCTATAATCCACAAATGAGTGAGATCATGTGGTATTTATCTTTCTCTGACTGGCTTATTTCACTTAGCATAATGCTCTCCAGTTCCATCCATGCTGTTGCAAAAGGCAAGAGTTCCTTTTTTTTTTACCGCAGCATAGTACAATTCTTTGTATTTCTGTGATCTCAGATATTACTTCGTCTCTTTCATTTCTGATTTTATTTATTTGGGCTCTTTTTCTTTGTTTCTTTAAAAAAAAATCTTTATTGTTGAAAGTATTACATATGTCCCCCTTTTCCCACCATTGATCCCTCCCTGGCCCAGGCCTTCATCACCCTGTTGTCTATGTCCATGGGTTATGCATATATGCATAGAAGTTGTTTGGTTGATCATCTCCCACCCTCCCACCCTCCCCTGCCTTCCGTCTGAGTTTCTGCATTCTGTTCCATGCTTCCATGTCTCTGGATCCACTCCATTCATCAGTGTATTTTGTTACTTAGATTCCACATATGAGTGAGATCATGTGATACTTGTCTTTCTCTGACTGGCTTATTGCACTCACCATGATACTCTCCACGTCCCTCCATGCTGTCTCAAGGGGTAAGAGATTCTTCTTTTTTACTGCTGCATAGTATTCCATGGTATATTCCAGAGCTTTTTTATCCACTCATCTACTGATGGGCACTGGGCTCTTTCCAGATCTTAGCTATTGTAAATTGAGCTGCTATGAACATAGGGGTGCATACATTCTTTCTGGTGTTTTGGGATTCTTGGGATATATTTGTAGAAGTGGGATCACTGGGTCAAATGACAGTTCCATATTTAAATTAAAAAAATATTTTTATTGATTTCAGAGAGGAAGGAAGAGGGAGGGAGGGACAGAAACATCAATGATGAGAGAGAATCATTAATCAGCTGCCTCCTGCATGCCCCACCCTGAAAATCAAGCCCACAACACAGGCATGTGCCCTGACCAGGAATCAAACCATGACTTCTTGGTTCATAGGTCGACACTCAACGCTGGCTGGGCCATATTTATGGTGAGCCTTGAGGATTGGGGTTTGGGCCCTGGTGGAGCCACCACAGGTACAGATCTTGGTGAAGAATTTGCCTAACCCTGCAGATATTCCAGGCAGGCCTGAGGGCAGCTGGATGGCTTGGCTTCTCTGCCCTGAGGGGCACATTAAGACTCAATCATGAAATTCCAGCAAAGGAGGTCAATTGCTAATCTTGTTGTGTTTTGCAAATGAAACTAGACTTAATGCAATAGATAAATTGATCTTAATTTGATTCTTTAATAAATATAAGGGTGATTTTAGGGAGAAAAATTATATTTCAATAGGCAATTATTAGAATTGAAATGTTTTTTTTTTAATTGCTTAAAGTATTACAAAGGGTATTACATATGTGTCCTCCCACCCTCCCCCCCCCCCCCCCCCGCCCTTGACAGTCCCCTAGCCTTCCCTATCCCCCAGTGTCTTATGTCCATTGGTTATGCTTATATGCATGCATACAAGTCCTTTGGTTGATCTCTTACCCCCCAGAATTGAAATGTTTGTTGTTTTGTTTTTTGTATGTTTTGTTCCTTCCACCGGACTGTTTGTCGTAATTCTTGCTGTTCTAACTTTTGAAATTTTATAACAGTTTGTCTCTATCAGACATGAGCAGAGCAAGGACGATGGACCAACTGGAGGAGTAATGGATGGGACCCTGAGACGTGCTTCTCACCACTCCAACTGCTCTGAAGCTGGTAATGGAGGAACCTATGTAGATTCTCTCTCCCTCTTCCTTCTTCTAAGAAAGCCAACAGGTTTTAGAACAGCTAATGAAGATAGGATCAATTAGTGTAAAAAGAAGAGGTGGGTATTTGTAGGAAATGGATCTCTGTGATCCATCTCCAGCATGGTTGGCTTTTGATGGAATTTACTGAATTTCCCCAGGGCAAACAGAATGTAGGGAGGAGGGAAGAGAAACAAAGAACTGTGCACAGGGGCCAACATCATGGTGGAAACCCTGGAGGTGTCTGCCTCAGCTAGACAGGGGAGTGGAGGCAGCTAGAAAGGCCTCAGCCCAATATTTTAAATGGTCCAATGGGAGACAGCAAGATCTAGGGGACATATGAGGAAACAGGTGACCCCGTAGTACTCAGCCAATGAGGAACAGAGGAGGGACTAAATAAATAGGCTACGATTGATACTCCATGTGTGTCTGTACAATGAGATGAACACTGGCTCTCAGCAGTTCCAGTTTTGGAAGCTGAAAAGTCCAAGATCAAGGTTCTGACAGGTTTTGGTTTTTGGTGATGATTCTCTTCCTGGCTTGCAGATGACCACTTTATTTCTGTGCCTTCTAGTGGCCTTTCCTCTGTGTGCCTTTGCAGTCAATCGCCCCTTTTCTTGAAGGATATTGTTTGTTTGTGCATAGGTAACTACAGTGGGGCCTTGACTTACGAGTTTAATTCGTTCTGAGACTGAGCTCGTTAAGGAGCTCGTTAACTCAAATTGCTCTATCAACTCAATGCAAAAAATCAGCGGAGAGACAGCTGGTATCTCAAAAAACTTGTTAGTCGGGACACTCGTTAAGTCAAGGCCCCACTGTATTGTCCCATCCTGTAGAATCCCAGAAGTCTTAACAGCCTTCTTGCATTCTGTCTCATTTTTTAAAATTTAAAGTCTTTTAAAAAGTGGGAAAGAACAGTCTGGTCTGTGGAGGGTGGATAAGAGGAAACTGAGCCTGGGACAGGGAACCAGAGAAGGTGGTGACAGTGTTGAAGCATAGCAGGGGCAGGCGGGAGACACTGAGGAAGAGTGGCGGAAACTTACCCACAGCTTAGAATCTTTCCAGAGAGGAAAGCAGTGTTCTCATTGGGGTACTACTGATAGGGGCAGAAATAGAACGTTGGGGAACCAGCTAGAATTGTAAGAAATATTAATCATACTCTTTTAACCATGATTGTTTTGTTCTGATTAAAGGAGACACATTCTAACCTGGCTGGAAGTTGCAGGTGGGACTTGGGAGCTCACCTGGAAATGTGACCCATCCTCTACATCCAGGAGCTGCTTATTATCATGTAAAGATTAACAACCTTGTTGCTGAAACCAGACTCGAGGGCCACAATGGGTTCTTAAACTGGACCGGAGGGCCGGAACAAAAGCATGGATGGAGTGTTTGTGTGAACTAATATAAATTCAAAGTAAACATCATTACATAAAAGGGTACGGTCTTTTTTTTTTTTTAGTTTTATTCATTTCAGTTTTATTCATTTCAAACGGGCCGCGGGCCGTAGTTTGCCCACGGCTGCTAGCCCTTTGCATATCGGCAGCCCACATTATCTGTAAACTGTCCACTTGGCATACATACACTTTTGGCTACTTCCCCATGTAGTCTTCATCCTCTTACCCAATATAAGCAGCTGGTTTACGGTGGGGGCAAAACAGGGTTTTGTGGATGACCTGTTGCTCTCCCATACTGTGGCATTATTGGAATAAACAATCATATGATTCAACCCTGTCTCTGCTTAATTGGCTCAGGTAGTGACAGGCAGCCCAGACCCATTGGTTGTCCGGTTACAGTACTTCCCTTCCACTTCTGGGATTTTATTCCTGCTGTGCCCCCTCCCTCAGTCACACTTATTCCTTATCTTCAATATTACCTCCTCCTCAGATGTGCTCTCCCAGGGAAGCCTGCTCTGCCCCTTCCCAGGTTTGCTGGGTTACCTCCTCTGGACCCAGAGCTAAATCTCTTTTTGGATTAGCAATGTCTGAAAACCCAATTCAAAGTAGTTTTTCCCCTCCCAAATAAGAAACATCTTGGCGCTCACATTGTTTTTAAAAAACTGGTGCAGATGAGGTGTATTCAGCAGCTCAAACACTGGAAGGCACTTAGAATGAGCAAAACCCTCTGTAGTCTGACTGACAGGGTTTTTTTTTTTTTTTAAATATATTTTATTGATTTTTTACAGAGAGGAAGGGAGAGAGATAGAGAGTTAGAAACATCGATCAGCTGCCTCCTGCACATCTCCCACTGGGGATGTGCCTGCAACCCAGGTACATGCCCTTGACCGGAATCGAACCTGGGACCTTTCAGTCCGCAAGCCGACGCTCTATCCACTGAGCCAAACCGGTTTCAGCAACAGGGTTTGAATCCTGACTCCACCACTCACAGGCAGATAAGTTTGGGCAAGGCTCTCAATCTCTCTTGCTTCAGTTTTCTCATTTATGAGTTGGGGACAATAACAACACCTACTTTTCAGTATTGTTGTGGCATTTAAATGAGATAATATGCATAAGCTCTTTGAACAGTGCTTGAACACAAGTGACTGTTAATAGCGACGGGCTATGATGATGATAATAGCGAAGTTGAGGACCCAGTTTCCTGTTCTTCCACTTTCTATTGTTTTCTTCTTGGCTCTTCCTAAGTTCTGGCAACCCCAGGCTCTTCCACTTGATTGAGAACTGGTTTACCCTGCACCCTTCAAGGTGAGGGAGAAAGATGTGGTTTTAGAGGCTAACATGGAAGAGGAAGGCTGCTTCTCTTTAGTATAAACTTCTGGAGACCATTTAAGTTTCATTGGCTCAGGATGGTTCACATGCCTACTGTTGAACCAATCTCTGAGCCAGAATATGGTTCCCAAACCTTATAATGACTGCTATGCTGTACCTCCCCAGACTTATTTCTTACCTCCTTCCCCAGATCACACAAAGGGAGCTCTGTCCTTCCAGCTCCTAATACCATGAGACAACGGACTGAGAGCAAAAGGGTAAGGCTCTTCAGGGCCAAAGCTTAGTTGTAACAATTCCCCCTGCTTTACTGAGGTGTAACTGCCAGATGAAATGGTAAAATATTTAAAATGCATAATGTGGTGATTTGATATATGTATGCATTGTGAAATTATGAGCATAATCAAGTTAATTAACACATCCATCATCTCACATAGTTACTTATTTTTGTTACATAGTTACTTTTTATTTTGGTGAGAATGCTTAAGATCTACTCTCTTAGCATATTTTAGTATACAGTACAGTATTGTTAATCATATTCACCATTGTTAGGTCGGAGAGAGCCCAGGATCAGATACACGCAGACCTGTGACGAGATAATGGACTACCCCTGGCATTTCTAACAGATCAGCATGCCAGACACAGATACTGGCTTCTCCACGACCCCCACACAGATACTGACTCATTCCTGAATACCTTGCTGACCCCCCTGCAGCTGAAACTTCCTCAACTGAATACCTCAGCTCTTGTCCCCGCCCCTCACCCAACCGCAGTATAAAAAAAGCGCCCCCCTCCCTGTTGGCAAATCCACGTGCCCTGTCCTTGGGGGTACGTGGGTCTCCCAGGGACGCAGAAATAAGCCTTTTCCTTTCCTTTCTTTTCTGATTCACTGGACTCTCTATTTCTTGCGCCGCCTCCTGAGCCACCTAACCTAACAACCATGTTATACATTAGAATCTCAAACCTTATAACTTTAAGGTTATACATTTTTACCAGCTTGTCCCCATTACCCCCACCCTCTAGCCCCTGAAAACCATCATTCTACATTCTGTTTCTATGATTCCACATATAAGTGCTAACACACAGTATTTGTCTTTCTCTGACATATTTCACTTAGTATAACACCCTTAAGATCCATCTATTTGCCAAAAATGGCAGGATTTCATATTTCTCGTGGCTGAATCATATCCCTTTGTGTATATATTCCACATTTTTTACTCATTTATTTTTAAAATATATATTTTTTTTATTGATTTCAGAGAGGAAGGGAGAGGGAGAGAGACATAGAAACATCAATGATGAGAGAGAATCATTGATTGGCTGCCTCTTGCATGACCCACACTGGGGATCAAGCCCACAACCCAGACATATGCTCTGATCAGGAATCGAACCATGACCTTCTGGTTCATAGGTTGATGCTCTACCACTGACCCACACTGGCCCGGCTATCCATTTATTAATTGTCAGTCACTTAGGTTCCCCCCCCCCCCCCCCCATATCTTGGCTATTGTGAATAATGCTGTAATGATAACAGGAGTATAGATACCTCTTTGAGACAGTGATTTTATTTCCTTTGGATATATGCCCAGAAGTGGGGTTGCTGGATCATATGGTACTACTATTTTTCATTTTTTGAGGAAACTCCATACTGTTTTCCAAAGTGGCTGTACATCCCACCACAGTGCACAAGGGTTCAGTTTTGGGCCAGTTTTTTTAAGATGCAAGTGTGTATTCTTCACTCTCTTCTTGGGCTCTGAGCCCTTAGGAGATGGTGTAATTACTAAGTGGAAGGAGTCTGGACCCCTGCTTTTATATGTGGATCACCAGAAATGTCCACATTGGTAGGTTCTGTGAGTGAGAAATAAACTATTTTGAGAGCTACTGATTTGAAGATTTTTAAAAATATATTTTTATTTTTACTGATTTCAGAGAGGGAGAGAGAGAGGGAGAGAGAGATAGAAACATCAATGATGAGAGAAAATCATTGATCGGCTGCCTCCTGCACGTCCTCTACTAGGGATCAAGCCCACAACCTGGGCATGTGCCTTTGACTGGAATCGAACTCGGGACAATCCTGTCCGCAGTCTGACGCTCTATCCACTGAGACAAACCGGCTAGGGCTGACTTCAAGTTTGTGATAGCTGCTAGCGAGACCCTAGACAACAAACCTTATTGCTCCCTCCCAGTGCATCTCAAACTATTTGTGGTTGTGGTGTAGGACTCACTTTTTTAATATCTCCAATGTTTCAGGGACTGATCCTTTGGTCTATACCAGTGATGGCGAACCTATGACACGCGTGTCAGAGGTGACACACAAACTCATTTTTTTGTTTGATTTTTCTTTGTTAAATGGCATTTAAATATATAAAATAAATATCAAAAATATAAATCTTTGTTTTACTATGGTTGCAAATATCAAAACATTTCTATATGTGACATGGCACCTGAGTTAAGTTAGGTTTTTCAAAATGCTGACACGCCGATCTCAAAAGGTTCGCCATCACTGGTCTATACCCTATTTGACAAGGTAAGTCTCTTGATCATATACTTGGATATAATGACAATATCAAATTGCTGTAAGTTTTAAAGCACTTATTGTCAATTTCTGCTTTTATCTTGTTGCAGACCATTAATAGTGGTGGACCAGTACTAGCCCTGCTTTAGTTTATGGCCTTATTTTTTTTCTCTATAGCATTTTCCATGCTCTGTAATTCTCTCGCTTATTTAGAGGTCTAGTTATGGTTTTCTTCCCCACTAAAATATAGGCTCCTTCAGAAAGGCATCTTATTTTCTTTTCTCTGTTGTGGTTCTAGTTCCTAGTGCAGTGCCTGGTACATCTTAGGTGATCAGAAACTATTTGTTGGATGATGAGTAAATCACGAACTGATGATTTCAGAAGGGTATGGGGGGAGAAGGCAGTCCATACCTGTTACAGAAGTGTTTACAATCAGAATATGAACCAAATTTTAAACAGTTCACTGGCAGCTGCTTCACTTCCTGGTTTGCTGCTTTGCAGCCCAGATGAGGTCTGGTTCTTACAACCCACCTCCCTTAGTTTCCCCCATTAGAGATTACACTGCTCGGAACTGTCACTGTCCGGTGATCAGTTTCTCTTCCACCCTAGCTTGTAAGTGTCTGCTATGTCCCCAGAGTCCGGCAGCGCAGTCAAGGCCCTAGGTTAACATGAATACATTTGTGGCATGAACACATGAATGTCGGCAGGAGGGGAGGCTGCCTTGGGGAAACAGTTCCCTACCCTGTCTCCCATGGCCCCCATCCCTTGACAGGGTCCCAGGGTTGGTCTTGAGCTCTGGCCCATTGGGCTGCCTGAACTACTGAGAGGGTTCACTTGAAACGCAGGCAGACAGGGCAGGGGTCCAGTGGAAAACAAAGGCAGGTGGAACATACGCAGGGGCAGACATGGCAGTTTGAGCAGCTTAACCACAGGAACCAAACAAGCAGAAATCTTTAAATGTTTCTGGGCTCAAAGTGGGAGGCATGGGAAAACAAGAGAGGGCCTGTAGCAACAAGGTGTACAAACACATAGAAACAGAAAGTTCAGCATAAGAAGAGAGAAAGCACACACAGAAACAGGGAAAGTTCAGGCCCGATGCTGGGCAAGAACAATTGAGGGAATCAGCCAGGTGATGACACAGGTAG